CAAAAGTCTTTGCCCATTTTTCGATTTTTTTTTCAAATCCTTTTTCTTCTTCAGCCCAATCAGCAATCTACAGTCACATCCCTCATCACAATCGTCAACGTAATGCCTTTCGACAGGTGACTTGTGGATAATGTCTGCCCAGAGATCAGGGCTCTCGAGGCAAAAAAAGGTAGGGAAGTTCGTTTTCGAGTAGTTGGGAACATGAAGCTCTCCATTTTTTTGTTGAATCAGCAGCAGCAGAAGCAGACGAGATTCTGTTGGGGCTGGAGCTGCTGAACACAAATGGCGAGACAGAACATCCCATGAGCGGCTTAGAGACTTTTTTCAGAGAATGAGGTAAGTATCTGAATAAACGAAACCTTTCTTCTGAACAGTGTTGAGCTTTTGTCAAGTACTTCGTATCTCAAGAGTTGGAGACATCGAGGAATTGTCGAGGAAATTGAAATTTGCTGGCGAGTTTCCACTCTTTTGGAGACTGTAGCTTTGTTACTCGGCAGCTTTTTGAAAATCGGAGAACAGTATTGTAAACCAGAAGATTTGTGCTTTTCGACGTGTTTCGCGGTTGTTCGGAACATTCCCGAGTTCGCAAGAAAGCTGCGTCGCGGAAATATTGAGGAAATTATCGAAGACACTTAAAAAATCTACTTCCTCCTCGCCATAGCAAGGAACTTTTCTAAGAACCCTCAGAATGCTTCTAGGACGCACCACTCAACAATGTGAAATGAAGACGATGCATTTGGCGCAGATCCATTCAGTTCTGGTATCTGCCATGCAGCGAGCCCACTCGGAGCTGTTTGAAAGGCGTTTTTTCTACAGGGCAACTACTTATGCAGGCAGTAAGGTGTTTTTAGTTTCAATATTCGGAATCCCTCTTAGGATAGTATAGCATGATCATTCCGATAAATGACGCATTTGCGGCTGCAGTATATGACTATGCCAAGAAGACTGCGAATCTCCCCGTTTTACACCTGCTTACTTGATATACTGCTCCTCCATTAGGTTCTCAAAGGTGTACTTCAGTTCGCTGCTCATGTGATGCGTACATACACTCTTTTGCAGTCAACTCATTTCATAGAAGAATGGGTCTCAACATCGCCTCAGAATACGCCACGTACACAACCTATTCACCATATTGCGAGATCGAATGAATGTTCTTTTTTTCGAATTCCACGATCTTTACTTAGTTATTGAGCGCTAATTGGCTAAACATGTTGTCTCTGCGCTCATCATCCCATTCTCCCATTTACAGTGAGAATCTTCGATCGGTTTCCAGCAGTAACAGTAGGCCTATTATGTGACATTCCTTACTTTAGAGGACATGCTTTGTGGAGACCTGAGAGATAGCAAGGATTCTCTCCACCGTCGTGGACCATGTTTTCTTGCCTGTAGGAATTAGGCAAAATATTTGGTCGCAGGTGAGAGTTCCTCGTGTTGTGGCCCCAAACATAACTGTTCGTCATGTCCTTATGAAATAATCAGTTTTTCTTGCTTGTCCAGATGGACTTTGAAATATGAGATGTGCATCATTTGACTTCCCATAAAAATATTATCAAATGGTGCCAGCCTACTATAGTTGTAGTGGTATAGAGAAAGAGTCAAACGCTTCTGCATAGCTGATGTAACACACTGATTCCAAGTGCTGTTTTTTCAACTCGCCACAAGGGAATAGAGAATGGTAAAACTGACATAGTGAACTTGCGCTCAAAAACACATGCTCGTTATTGTAGTTTGAAGGGTCTTCCTCTCGCTAATAATTACTGATTTTTGACAGGGTATGCGCTCCATGACTTAGCTGATAGAACTAGTCAACATGTAGGCCTATTATTGGTAATGTTGTTTTTGCAACCTTTCTTAAAAATGGGTCGGACGAGCCCGACCTTCCACAGCCTAAACGTCTCCACGCAGTAGAATTCCAATGAGTGGTGCAGTAAAAAGAACGGCCATACCAAGAGCAACCTCCATAAAGAAAATGTATAGGGTTTCATTGGGAGAGGTACACAACCTCTTGAGGATACACGCGGTATACTGTGAACGGTAACTCTAGAAAGATCAATCCAAACCAAGAAGCCAACGAAAAAGGTAGTCCAGTCCCTGAATCGCACGAACTTCTATAATCTAACCGAAAATAGTCGGTGGAAAGATTTTACGCTAGGTGTTGTGAATACACAACCTATATATTTCTACTATAGCTAGGATTCATATAAGTGAATGATAACGTGCTAGTTCAAACTATTTACCTTAGGACGTTCTATAGATGAGTATCTCTTGAAATGATACCGCAGGCATGACCTAGCGGTATCATAAGTGTGCAATCAAGTAGGTAACTTAAATATTGCTTTGACGCGGTCCACCCTTTCATCCCCCGAGCTTGAGTACCGCCACTGGCCCCCTACGGTCCAGCGGCGACACGGTATCTGAGGACCGCCCACATTTTCTGTATATAAACCCCATTGAATGCATTATTATTGTCGATTCTTACACTAACACGTCGTATATATTACACGTCACTGGTTAAGTCTTCTATTGGCTCACTAGCCAAATTGGTCATCGGCCTAGGGTAGAAACCAGGGTCAAGCGTGCGTTGAGGAATCCTCGACTCGTCGCAAGGGGGGGGGGGTATTGGCCCGCTGGGTGGAAGAGATAGAGCCATTTTGATGCAGTGGGATCATCACCGTCGGAAGACAATATCAAGGATGAGTCGATGCCAGGCCAGAGGATTTCCTATGAAAATGATAATATTTCACCCACACAAAATTCTCGTGATTCTGAGGCGTCCGGTAATTCTTAGTTACTTCAGTGTTTTATCACCACACAAGTTAAAGAATCTGAATTTCGCACGCTTTCCAAGAGAAATTTCATCTTCCAAGTAAGACCCCGAATCTGAAGGGATGTGAGGTACACGGCGCATCCGAGAAAGGGTCTAGTTGTTGTGCGCGCCTCAAGTAAGGCTCCTTGGACAAACAACCTCAATTCAGGAACAATCGAGAGAACTCTGAAAGTGTCCGTGCGCACTTACAGGGTAGTGTACACCATTCAACATTGCGTTAACGAACTCTTCAGGGTTAAATTTATAAACATGTAACCTTTAAAGTTGAGAAACGCATCAATCACTTTTCTTAGAAGGAGAAAAGCAATGGATTCAGATCTGCTCTTACTTTAGTACATAATCGCCCTTAAAAGGACATACAGCCGTTGAAATAGTGCCAATGTAGCGAAAAAGTACCTTTCGGCGGTACTCGTGCAAAAATCCTCAATGTAGCCGTTTTTTTATTACTGGACCTTTAGAGCAGTTCTAGTAAGCGTTTAATAGAGCAAATCTTCTAGTTTATGAAGGCGTATTTACTTTTGGGATTGGATGAGTTTGAACGGAGTTATGGCTTTAGGAAGTAAAAAAACTCGCACTCATCACAAATTTTCCTCGTTAATTTTGCAAAAGTTCTCAACGTGGCCATTTTTTGAATACTGGACGTATAGAGCTGCTTTAGCAAAGGTTTGGTAGAGAAAATCTTCTAGTTTTGTCTGCCATATTAACTTTTCGAAATTGACGAAAATGAAGCAAGTTGTTGCTTCGGAAAGTGTAAAAACTCGTGCTCATCTCGAATTTTCCTCGTTAATTGACCTAAATTTGTTATTTCTTATAACTTTTTGTAATTTAAATACTGATTAGAAAAAGCCTTTCACAAAACTTCCAAATCTGCTTTCAGATTGAAAATTCGTCATATTTGAAGAAAGTTATAATCATTTGAATATTTGTTCAAATTTCAATAGTAAATAAGCTGCTCCACGGTCAACGCCAAAGTCCAATCAACACGGTCTTGTGACAT